TGTGAAGTCCTCGACTGTTTGTTGATGAAAGATGTCGCCGTCATCGAATTCTCTACCAAAGTAAACTCTGCAAGATCAACCTTCCGGTTAATCACCATCCTCTTCCTTTGCAATCCTTACACACAGAAAGTGACCTCGCCTCTCCAAATATTGTTTCAAATTTTTTCTCTAACAAGACACCGGACCAGCAACCGCCAACACTAATTTTCTCTGTTTTTAAGCTTTGTCGAAATTAATCAACATCGAGGAAGTTCCATCATCGAATTAACCTAATCGATTAAGCATGTATTCAATTGATCCATGATTGAGTACTTGGAACTGATGAAGAGATTAATCCATCGCAAATTAGAAAATTAGATAAATTTTTAAAGATTATTGGTAATTAAATCCGACTTTAAACTGGGAAAAAAATTCTCTGTTAAAACAGATAAAAGCAAAATCATTTACATTATAGATAAATTTTTTTTTTTTGACTTTTATAATAAATGAAAGTTGAATGCAAATTTTAATATAACATTATTGTCCTTATATTATGGGTTATTGCTTTTTATAAAACCTATATATATATATATATATATATATATATTTGTGTTTTTGTTTTTAATGGTATAATGGGCTTTTTAGGCTTAGAAACCCACCTCCACCGCCAGCTGTACCCTTTCATTTATATAAACAACAAGAATCTCTCTCTCTTCCCCAATCTCACGCCACGCCGATTAAATGGCTAAAATGCCATAAATTGAAAAAAGTTAATCTGTTGTGCCATAAACAAGTCTGTGTGCCATAATACACATATAATTCCTATTTTACCCTTAATGAAATTTTTTGTGGCATTCCTGAATTTAATAAAAAAGTGATTGATTTTATTTAAATTGAAATTAATAATTTAAAACAAAATTAATTTCAAAAATAATTTCAGATTTTTTTTTTCTGTTTCTTCTTCTTCGTCACCTTTTTGTCGATGGATTCTGAAAACCACCAAATCTCATTCTCGCCGTCAAACCCTCGCCTCTCCTCCTCTTCTTCATCCTCTGTAATCACTTTATTGTTTTTATCTCTTCTCTCCACCACCATTGTTGAAGTTTCAAACCCATTTAGGTTTTTGTTTGGAAATTTGGGGATTTTAGAATTTAGGGATTGAATTTGTCAAAATTGCTTGTTTGGTATGTAAATCGGGTTGGTAACCTAGTTTATGTGATGATTAGGTCTTTGCATAGATAATTTATCAAATATAGTTGTTGAATCGTAGTGACTCTTAGGTAGAAAATCCGAGTTCATCACCAAATCTGCAGAAGAGGACAACTGGTACGAATGGTACAACTAAGAGATAAGAGGACTACTAGTACAACTGGTACAACTATGAGATAGAGGACAACTGGTACAAATAGGTATAACTAAGACAACTTAAATAATTGTTGATTGAAAATTCTTTTATTATAATTGAAAATCGGGTTGGTAACCTAGTTTTATATGACGATTAGGTATTTGCATGAATACTTTCTTAAATATAGTCGTTGAATCGTAGTGATTCTTAGGTAAAGTATAATTATATCTGAGTTCATCTCCAAATCTGCAGAGGAGGACAACTAGTACAATTAGGTACAACTATGTACAAAAATTGACGGCGCACATAAGTGCACATGTTATTTTGATGGATAGTGACACTTAGGTAAGTCAATCTAATCTAGAGAATTTCATTTTTGGCAGAGAATACTTTCTGGATGGAAATAAACAAGGTACAACTGGACACATATGTACAATTATATGCAATTCTTTCATTAGAAAATAATAGTGATAAACTATAAATATAGAAAGCAAATATTCACTTAAAAATGTAAAAAATTTGTAAACTATAAGGAATAAATTAAAAAGATGGATAACATGAAATTTATCATTTTTCTAATACATATTATTGGTTTCACATCGAACACCCCTTATGATACAAAGAAGACTTTGATAATGTTAACAATCTTATGATGGAAAAGAGATAAAATTGTGATTTTGGATAAATTGTTTATGAAAATGTTGTAAATGGACTACAATAGTCAAAAATCATGTGGACAACTACAAAATAATAATTTATATCAAGGGACAACTGGAAAAAATACTAAAATTATCAAAGGACAACTATGAAGAATTTTGGACAACTGGACAACTGAGTACAACTATGTATAAAATTGACGGCGCACGTGGTACTTTGACTGTGCACATGTCCCTTTTTGTCGGCGCACGTGCGTCTACGACTGACAACATAGTTGTACCTAGTTGTCCAGTTGTCCAAAATTTGTAATAGTTGTCCTTCGATCGATTTTGTAGTTTTTTCAGTTGTCCTTCAACATAAATTATTATGTTCTAGTTGTCCACAAAAATATCGAACATTATATAGCAGCCCCAAGGGTTTTGCGTCATTATTTTTCTATTTCCTATATTTTGGCATAGATGCTTGCATAAGATGGATAACATTGTCAAAGACTTCCTTATAACATAAGGGTTATTTCAAGTGAAACCAATAATATTTGGTTCTTTGAACAAAACAAAGTTTTATTTTATTATTTCTAGTATAGACGTGAAAAGATACAGTTATTAGGGTATGGGTTATATTGGCTTTTAAGTAAATAATATTAGGAATTTATTTTTTAACACTACAATTAAAATATAGTTGTCCCAAGTTGCACCTAGTTGCCCTGGAGAAATTCAAAATACAAATAACTCCAAATAAATAGTAATGCAAGAAATCAAAGAAATCCAAAATATAAATAACTCCAAAATAAATAGTAATGCAAAAAATCAAAGAAATCCAAGAAATTTAAAATACAAATAACTCCAAATTACTCATGTACACACTAAGACTGAAATATGTTGAATCTTTCATTCAGTTGTACCTTGTTTTTAGATTAAGGAGTTATAGATAATTGTTTATATGTGTCTAACTGTACTTTGTTTATCCCTATTTGTGAAAGATTTTCTCTGCTAAAAAGTGGCTATCGAGAATGAAAATTCTTCGGCTAAAATGGAATTTCATTAGCTAATTTAGTTTCCATGCTACTTTTGCTCTGAAACCACTTATCTAATTTATTATCCGTTTTGTCTTTTGGCAACGTTTTTTGGAGAATAAAAACCACTTTTTGATTATTTTTTTTGGTGTAATTCGGCAGTAAGACAAAAAATTCTTGTATATTATCAGAAATACTCCACTTAGTTTCATTTATATGTGCAATTCATTGTCCACATAAATTATCTACTCTAAAGTTGTTTAGTTTCATATATCGCAATCTTCTTACATACAATGTCTTATCTAGTAATACCGAATAAGTTATCTGCCCCAAATATGAGGTATTAAATGATATAAAATCTATTGAATTGCTTGTGTGGCTGATACTCATTATTTCTTGAAAATATAGTAAACAATTCTTAATTAACAATTATTCAAGGTGTCTTAGTTGTAGACTTATATCCATTTGTACTAGGTGTCCTCTATCTCATAGTTGTATCAGTTGTACTAGTTGTCCTCTTATCTCTTAGTTGTACCATTCGTACCAGTTGTCCTCCTCTGCAGATTTGGTGATGAACTCAGGTATAATTATAATTTACCTAAGAATCACTACAATTCAACGATTATATTTAACAAATTATCCATGCAAATACCTAATCGTCACATAAAACTGGGTTACCAACCTGATTTGTAATTATAATAAAAGAATTTTTAATCAGCAATTATTTAAGTTGTCTTAGTTATACCTATTTGTACCAGTTGTCCTCTATCTCATAGTTGTACCAATTGTACTAGTTGTCCTCTTATCTCTTAGTTGTACCATTCGTACCAGTTGTCCTCCTCTGCAGATTTGGTGATGAATTCAGGTATAATTATAATTTACCTAAGAATCACTACAATTCAACGATTATATTTAACAAATTATCCATGCAAATACCTAATCGTCACATAAAACTGGGTTACCAACCCGATTTGCAATTATAATAAAAGAATTTTTAATCAGTAATTATTTAAGTTGTCTTAGTTATACCTATTTGTACCAGTTTTCCTCTATCTCATAGTTGTACCAATTGTACTAGTTGTCCTCTTATCTCTTAGTTGTACCATTCGTACCAGTTGTCATCCTCTGCAGATTTGGTGATGAATTCAGGTATAATTATAATTTACCTAAGAATCACTACAATTCAACGATTATATTTAACAAATTATCCATGCAAATACCTAATCGTCACATAATACTGGGTTACCAACCCAATTTGCAATTATAATAAAAGAATTTTTAATCAGCAATTATTTAAGTTATCTTAGTTATACCTATTTGTACCAGTTGTCCTCTATCTCATAGTTGTACCAATTGTACTAGTTGTCCTCTTATCTCTTAGTTGTACCATTCGTACCAGTTGTCCTCCTCTGCAGATTTGGTGATGAACTCGGATTTTAATTCTAATCTACCTAAGAATCACTACGATTCAACAACTATATTCGATAAATTATCTATGCAAATACCTAATCATGGGTAACCAACCCGATTTGCATACCGAACAAGCAATTTTGGCAAATCCAATCCCTAAATTGTGAAATCCATAAATCTCTAAATAAAAACCTAATTGGGGTTTGAAGCTTCAACAATTGTGGTTGGAAGAGAAGATGAAGATAAGAAACTGATTACAGAGAATGAAGAGACAAAGTTTGGATGATGAAGATATGATTTTGGTGATTTTTAGAATCTATCGTCGATGATGAAGATGAATAGAGAAAAAAAATTGATAATTAAAGAAAAAGAATTAAAAAATTAAAAAAAATTGATTTTTTTTAGAAAAAAATTGATTTTTTTATGGGTTATCGGGTGAAAACGGGTGGGTTTTACCCTGGTATTTTCGTGATTGTGAAGACATATAAAGAGAAGAATATAATTTCCAGGGTTTAAGTTAATAAAAATAATTCAAAAAGAAATTAATTATTAGACAGATGATTTTTTAGCTTACTTTTTTGCGGTTTATGACTTTTCAGCCGCGCAGTCAGGCTCCATCGAGCTCAGGCACAATCGAGAGAATCTGCCTCCTAAAATTCTGATAATGGTACTCAAACGAAGCTCCAGTTTACCTGATTTTCGACATGTTAAGGCCCTACGTTCGAATTCGAATTTAACGGTTCCCGGGAAAAGCGGATCTCCATTGCTGACGCTTTTCCTAGACGACGGTCGTTGTGAGTTGTACAACCCGATAGAAGGCAAGACTGAAAAGATGCTGGGTGACTTCTCAGGGAGTCGATTCCTGGCAAGCTGCGGTAAGTGGTTCCTGATGCTAGATTCTCGATCCAGATTATATATCATAGATGTGTTTAGCAAGGATAGGATCGGTCTTCCTCCATTAGAGTCGGTCGTATCTGATTTATGTTCTCTGAAGCGTGTGGGAGATAGAGATAAGGAGTTTACATGGGAATTAACTGATGGTACTGTTTTCAACGCTTTCGCCGATGAAATTAGGGCAAGTCTGTGGGTAGACGAGAAGGCGGAAGAGTTGGCTTTAGTATGGTTCTTTGACGCCCCTGCTGGTTTTTTATGCTGTTACAAGAAAGGCAATGATCATTACAATCTCATTCCGGTTGGCCAGTTTGGAATCCCCAAGATGCTAACAGGCCTACATGGTCTGGTTCTTCGAGGTTACCGCCTATATATCTTAACGACTCGTAACTTCGTGCGAGTCATAGATTTTTCTGGAAAGAAAGGTTTCGAAGAACTCACCGATAGTGACCCATCCCCAACGTTTTCTCCTCTTGGGTATAGTTGTAACTTTAGCATCGCTGTTACAACCGCAGGAGAGGTTTTGTTGGTCACGAACACAGTTTTTGAAAGAAGCGAAAGGACTTTCCACGTCTACAAGAAAGACCCCAATGCAGACCCAGATGATTACATGCCTGATCTTCTTGAGGTACATTCTCTTGGTGATGAGGCCCTGCTTCTCGACTTGGGTATCACTGTTCCTGCTAACCCTACCCTTGGTATCAAACCAAATTCTATCTATTTCACCCGTCATTACCTTATCCGTTATGGCACCTCTGACCGTTCCCGTGTCCTGCCCCCTTATGAGGTGGACATCTGTGTGTTCAATCTTGCAACCAAGACCCTTGAACCCTTCCCTGCTCCCCCCAACATGAATCTCAAGGATGCTCGGTGGATTTTCTCTCTGACTTGAAGGACTTGATTCCAAACTTCCCGACTCTTTTGCCTCTCTGTTATTTTTCCTTTTATTTTATGTCTATGTCTTCGTATCCTCCATGCTTTTGAATAATTATGATATTTGCTGCCATTTAAAAGTTTAAAACACTTGGTAGAGTCATGTCCTCGAACTAGATCCTCAAATTTATTGTGCCGGCATTTGTCTCACAAGCTCGAATCATTCACTGATGCATAGTACTATATATGTATCGTCTTTGTTTGGATTTGTGTCTTCTAATTTTTGGTTTTGTCTGTTTCATAAGGGAGCTCACCACTTGTAGATGGATGATTTTTGCATACTTTGAGAGCTGCTACTGATAAAATGTCATTGAAACCATTTTTGTTTTGTTGCAAGCTGCTCCAAGTTTTCTACATAATCTTGTGGCCAAACCGATTGATGTGCGATCCATTCTTTGAAAGAAGTTTGACTGGTGACTTTGAGAGTTGGTTCTCAAGGTTCATAATGGTTCTGATACCCAATCGAAATTTGATGTCTTCTACAGTTAGACATAGGGATTTCAACCTGTAAACAGAGTACTGAGTACAATCTTGCAAGCAATATAAATCTCAAGATATAGTATTAGAATCTTTTGTATTAGAATCTTCTGAAAGAACATACTGCAAAACGAAAAGATAGTATGGGAGATAGTATTAGAATCTTGATACCATGGGAGATAGTATTAGAATCTTTTGTCATTTAGATCTCAAGAGAGTTCCCAAGCGTCAGTACCATCTGTGTGCTTGACAAGCTTTGACAGTTTGTGTGGTTTTGTTTCATGTAGGAGATATAAGAAAATAAAATTAAATAAACAATAAATCTAGTTTATATATTTGCTTGATTGTGTCTTCTGAAAAGATAATATCCAAAATACCAATACCGGATTCCTTTAGTTGCTGGTAATTAGTATATTGCTTGGAACACTTTTAACCTCTCTATAATGATAAACAATTACAAAAATTTCAGTCAGAAACAACAAAAACGCACTCATATATAAACCTCTCTGTTCAAGCTTTCGTGTCTCTTCTCCATTTGGAACTCCTCAAGTGTGTCTGCCTCACTATACCATTTCTGCTGTCTTCTTTAATTTGATCAATCCAATGAAACCCAAAAAATTTTTGGATCAAAATAACAAAATCAGTTCTTCCAAAAACAAAAGGAGAAGACGCCATAAGAGGCTCCCATGGCTCGTGCTCGGATTTACAGATTGGCAAAGAAGGAATAAGAAGCCATGGGCTTTAGAGAAGCTTGCTTGTTCTTCTTTTTGATGGCCCTCCTGGGAACATCTTCATGATCCATCCTAGAACCCTTTCTACCACCTAAAGAGAGAGAAAGAGAGATGATTAATGTATGGTCTTTTTCTGAACATAGTGAAAGAGAAAGAGAGAGTACCTCGTCGCCCTCATCTGCAATGGGTGGTCTCTCTTGAACAGCATGAGAATCCGGCTGCTTTTCAGGTGAAACATTGTCTATAGCCATACTCTGTGCTGTTAGAAGCTCTAACCTTTGCGTCTGCACTTCTAGTTTTCTGGACAACTCTTTGTTCAGCTCCTATGATTAAAAAAAACATGAGAAATTTAGGAAACACGAGAAAACACAAAACGTTAAAACGCTACTTATAAAATATCCGCAGGCAGAACTGGCGTGAGACTACGTTGACTACGATATAATCTCATGGAACCATATTGAACGCATGATGTTAGACAGAACTACTTTTATTTTTGAAACAAAAACTCTTGCTGGAAATCAACAGACATGTTTTCAGTCCGTGCTATACCACGCTTTTCG